GCGGGGAAGTCCCGCGACTTTTAGTGCGTTACAGATATAGTTAGAGCGTCTTTCAGTACTGCAGCAGGCCCTTGTGCGTGCATATACACCTAGAAGTAACTTGGTCTTGATTGACCGTGGTGCAACTGGAGTGTAATGAACTGTAATAAAAATACTAAACTGCTTGTCAAGTGGAGGAAACAGCTGTTTGGTATCAACGGCTTCAAGGAGTAATCCTGTGCCCAGTGTATACAAAGTATTTTCGTTTGTGCTACCGCTGTATAATAAAATACTTGGAGAGTTAGTAGCTAGAGAAGGGGGGGTTTTGTGTTTGTTGTTGTCAGTGGGTGTTTTTTACCGAGCACAACTGCGCATCTCCTGTGCTTTCGAGAAGGTCGAGCGGAGCCGTGGCTGATGCCACGCGATGGTGGGCGATACGATCTGTCCGGTAGCTGGCAGAACTGAAACCAGCTGTTGTGTTTTGTACCCACACAGCCATGGGGCTGGGGCGGGGGGGAGCAAGCAGCTCGGTGCAGCAATCGAGAGCAAGGCATCAGCTCTCTCCTTTCGGCTCCCTTCGCACAAGTGCCGTCAACTAGAACCTGAGCTTTCCCAGCCAACGGTGCTACCTGCGGAGGCAGGCAGGAGGAGCGGGGCTGGCCGGGGACGCCGATGGCATTCTCAGTAACAATGAACTCTGGCATCACTTGGGCCGAGAGAAGACTTTTACCAGCGCTGATGGTGGATTATTTCTATGTTTCATTTCTGTTGCAAGTTAAATGGACGTGGAAACCTCGCAGAACGTTCATGTTTCCACACGAGGTGTAGTAGTTTGGTGTTGCAAATGTATTAACTGCAGGTTTACACCAAACATGCAAAAACAAATTAGAAATAGGGAAATACAAACACATTTTCTCATTAGGGGATGTAAGTATGTGCTGACTGTAGTACAAATATAATTTTTATTCCATTTGTGTAACCTTTGGTTTTTTAATGAAGTCCTGTTCCTGTGTACAGCGTATGGTTCACTGTCAGATAATTTAACACTAAGAAAATCTGCCTGGAATAAATTAGAATATATTTGCAAATTAATTGGTTAATTAGATTTTAGACATCTCTTGAGGACAGGAGAGAAACAGATGTGTGCAAAAGCCACACAGATAGTTTGGTGATGAGTGTTTCTTGTAGGGTTTTATCACTCGGTTTTGTGAAAAACAGCCTTTCACGGGTGCTAGAGATTAAAAACCCCTCGTCTTTAAATGCAGAACATTAAAGTCCAGTTTCCGTGGTGCTGCTCATTTTTTTTGCTGGGGCACGAGCAGAGCCATTTGAACCCGTTAGCCGAGCGACTGCACTTGGGATAGGGGAGGTACCTCTTGAGCTGCTTTTTTTCTGGCAACAAAAAGTGTCCGTGAAGCTGCCTGGAAATCCTCTGAGCTAAACGCTGGCAGATCAGCAGAGAGGTGCCAGCTGGCATCGTGGTGAAGTCAGGCAACTCATAAGAAGAAGCAGATCTAAGATGGAGCCCAAGATTTAGAAGAATGGTCACCGAAGAAGGGAAACAGGGCAGGTTTTTTTCTCAGCTATGTCGGTGTAAACCCAGAGCAACTCCACTGAGGTTCACACCAGAGTAACTGAGAGCAGAATCTGGCCAACATCATCCACCTGACATCAGGAGAGGGCTGGGAGGGGGAGTAGCTCGCTTACCTTCCTCTTACAGGTCTTTGTACCGCATTTTCAGAGAGGTGAGAATTCAGTTTTGCTTGGTCTAGGGCCATGGTGCAGATGACCAATTTACTTTCACTGATTGGTAAAAGTAATTAGAGATTCTGCTACTGAAACCTGCACTTGTGTATTTGTCATTAACTTAGACCCCTTCAGAAATAAGCTCTGATTAAATCTTGGTTGGAAATGGAGGGAATTCAAATTTTAAGGACTGGAGTTGCTCCAGAAGCTGAGTGGGAAAGGATTTTCAGCTGAAAAGCAGCACAGCAGCTCCCTGCAATCCAGGCTGATCCAAAGAGCAGCAGAGGTGGGTAGGTGGCATCGCCTGCATCTGTTTGGCACCTCTGCTAGAACAGTCCTGCAGGCTCAGCTCAGTCGGAAGACGTTGGTCAGTCCCTCTTGGAAGACAGCTGGGGATCGCATTACTTTGCAGTTTGATCTCTGGGATCCCGGTTTGGGTGAGTTCAGAACCTCTTGGCAAAGACCTTGCCGTTAAAAGCAACATTAGCAGTATACAGTAAGACAAACAAGAGCTCATGTGCGTGCGTCATCGATCATTTTGCAAACAGTCCTCGGGCTAGGCGCAGAGCTCGCCTGGTACTGGCTGTTCGGGGTCACGATACAGACGTCAGAGGCAGAAGCGTTTTTCCTGCTGGCGTAACCTCCGCTAGGCACCGAGGCCCTGATGCTGCTGGGAAGAGCCTTCAAGTCATGTTCTTTCTCTGACCTTGGTGTGTTTTTCTAAGCAGCGGACCGAGCAAACTCAAAGCCTTGTTTGTGTCGATGTGTGAAAAATACAGCTGGATTTCTCAAACTCCAGAGGCCACGTCCCCGGGCAGAAGGCACCGAAGCAGCCCACGGGCTTGGTCCTTGTGTCCTTGGCCCAGGGCGGCTGTCAGCAGCCGCATGCCCTCAGCTTTCAACGGGCTGTTGCAGACTGGGACATACAGAAATGTGGCCGTCGTGACCTCGGTGCGCTGGTTGGTGAGGGCGTCTGGGCTGGCCCCCGAGGGCGGCAGCGTGCAGGGTGGCGGCTGCAGGCTGCCGTCCTGTCCTCGGGGACCCAGCCGCTGCCGGGTCCCATCCAGCCTGCCAGGATGTCTCTGCGGGGCGCTTGGCCTTTCCATCCCAGTTAACCCCAGAGCCCAGCTCTCCCTTTGCAGGCAGGGAGCTTCTGCTCCCACGCAGCATCTGGCTGTCTGCTCAGCCTGCTCCCTGCTGACCTTAGCACGTCTTTCCTCTCCTGAGCCGCAGGGGTTACTGAGTTCCCTGCTGCTTGGAAATGAAATTGGATGCGACAGGTACCAGCTTTTAGGGGGGTCCGGTTTGTGTTAGCGGGGAAGCAGCACTGCGCCACGGCACCTGGGACGCTGTGGAGCCGCGTATCCTCCGGTCCAGCCGCAGCTGCCCTGCCCGCCACGCGCAGCCCGTGCGGATTAGTTCTGTTCCTGCAGAGGAGTAGGAGTGTAGGTGCTGTAAGACCCGAGGCTGAGAGGCTGCTAGTTTGCAGCTGTGGTGAATTTAAACAGCTACAGAGGATGGACATGGACATGTCTCCACAACATTCATCTAAACGCAGTGATTTAGAAACTGTGTGCTGGTGTCCTTGGGCAAAATGAATTTGCACATTGTCAGGAGTCTGGGGGTTGAGGAGAGACCTAAAAATTACCAGCTGTTATAAAATTCGCAGAATAATGGGTTAACATCATCTGCCATAACTTCTCTATGGGGCTTTTGTGAAATCTCTCATTCAAGCAGTGTTTGCCGAGGCTTTTGACATTTGTGGCAGTGCTGGGACAGACAGTAAGGTCGTGTGTCACTTTAAAGGCTTAATTTTTTCCAAATTCCTCACAAAACCAGAGCTGAAAGCTCTCTCATGAATTTCTCGGGGAATCTGCTGAGGCAGCAGTTATGTTATCCTTCAAAACTCCACGGAAAAGGTCGCTGCAGAACCACGCTGAACCTGTCAGGCCGAAACAGGAGAAGGGGTGAGCGATGCTGGCTCTCGTGGTGAGCGAGGCGAGGTCCGAGGCTGCTCTCGGTGCCGGCTGAGGGGAGCTGGGAGACACCTGTGGAAACCACAGCTAGCTAGCTCGAGATGCCAAGGTGTGGGCAAGGCACAAACCGCACATCTCCTCGGCTGGTCGGGTTTCTGCTGAAGATATATTTACTCAGCAGAGCAAGAAAACCCAAAGCAGAGGAAGGTATAAACCAAGAAAACTGTATTTGTGAGGTGTGACTGCAGCGCTCAGACCTTCCTCCCCTCTGAACGCAGACTAACCTGGGGGACAATAAAACAGGCAAGGAGCTGCCTTCAAATTTATTTCTCATTCTGTCTCCGTTTCTGCAAACCTCCCATACCAGAAGATTAATGCGTGATGAGAAACTAGTTTTAAACAGGACTGCTCACTGCAGAAGATAGTAAACACTGATGTTGCCAGCGAAATTGTAGAGGACTTGGTACGTTTCATGGAAAAACTGGCTGCGTTACTAGACAGAGACCATAGACCTTTGACAGGTGGAGGGAAGAGAAGGCAAAATATTCCGTGTAAGGAAAATGCAGTCTTGGTAATGACTTTGCTTACCCCTAGGCTTCCAGTTTTATCCGTTCATATTTCCAGTATCTGCAGATGAACTCAGGAGAGTTTTGCTAATCCATTAGAAAAGATCATTTTCAAGTTTCCACCTAGACATAATAATTTGTTGGCTTAGGTTTTTTTCCTCCTTCTTCGCTGCTGATTTATGGATGCTTCCATTAGGTTTGTCAGAACCGTAATCAGAGAGTGAACCTTTTTACTTGGTACTTTGATCGGGATGATCATTCTTGTGGAAGAGTGTTATGAAGAGTTTTATAGGACTGAAACCAACTGAGGTCTATAGAAATACAATACTGATCTCTGTACAACAGTAGGTACTTTTTAGACGGTCCCATTCATCAGATAAATAATTCTTGAGGAATTTGAATGTGTTGGTCTGAAATAGCAAAAATCCTGAAGGTTCTTTGTTAGGAGTGTAGTCTTATTGTTTAATCTTACAGAATTTATTGTAACTCTAGTAAAGCGATCTAACTAGTGCCGTGGGTTGCTTATCAGAAGATACCGTCCCTTGTAGTGTCCCCGTGCATTTCAGTACTAATCTAATTGGATGGAGTTTGCATGATGGAATATTGGAGGTAGAGATTTTGTGCTCAGGATTATCAGAAAGCACCAGAAACTAGCAGCTTTTACAGAAAGTGGAAGGCCAGATGGATCAAGCGATTACTCCGTCTGATCTCCTGCGTGCTGCAGCCCGTTCTATGTCACCCGCTTTACCCCTGCGCTGCATCCAGTAGACGGGGATGCGTTACAGCATATCCCCCGGCAAAGCGCCCGCTGCCGATCGCAAGAGACCCCCGAACGGCGGAGCCGCCATCTCGTGTGGCAGGTTGGTTCAGTGGTCAAAATGCCTTCAGTGCCAGGGCATTCCTACAGATTTCTATTGATGTTTGTTTCGCTTTTAACTTCCACCTCTTGATTGTTGTTGTGCCCTTTTTCAGCAGGTTGAAAAACTCTCAGTTCCTTTTCTTTTTCTCCCTG